TGCCGCATGAGCACAACGACACGTACCTATATACGCGCACAGCACGCAACGCACACACACACACGCACGAGCACGCACGAACGAACGCACGCACGCAAGCCAGCAGACTAGGTATATCAGCACCCATACAGCGTACAGCACACGACGCCGAGGTACGGGCATAGACAACGCGCCGGCACGCACAGCGTACATAGACACGTACGCTCCACGCACACAACATAACACGTGCAGCAGCACAACGACACGCGAGCGACACACACGCACGCGGAACAGCCACACGCCACGGCGGACACACACACGCACGCGACACACGACACACGCACACACGACACGCACATACGGTGCACAAACACCACACACACACACACACGCACACACACCGCAACGCACACCACACACACACACACACACACCACACACACACACACACACACACACCCACCACACCACAACACGCACACACACAACACACACACACACACACACACACACAACACACACCACACAACACACACACACACACACACACAACACACACACACACACACACACACACACACACACAACACACACACACACAAACAAACACACACACACACACACACACACATATATATATATAATATATATAGTAAAACACGTTTAACGCCCATGTAAACACCCATGTAGATATGAAAATAAAATGTAAAAAAATAGTATAAGGTGTTAAATTTTTATCTATATATATCTATATATATATATAATATTAGATAAATAAGATAGATAGATAAGATAGATAGAGGATAGATAAATAGATAGATAGATAGATTAGATTAGATAGATAGATTAGTATAGATAGATGATAGATAAGATAAATAGATAGATAGATAGGATAGATAGTAGATGGATAGATAGATAGATGATAGATAGATACGATAGATAGCATAGATAAGATAGATGGATAGAGAGATAAGATAGATAGATAGATAGATAGATAGATAGATAGATAGATAGATAGATAGAATAAGATGATAGATAGACAGAGAGATAGATAGATAGATAGATAGATAGAGATAGATAGATAGATAGATAGAATAGATAGATAGATAGATTAATGATAGATAGATAGATAGATAGATAGATTAACACATTAGAGCTCTCTCCTGCACGTATCGCTTACTAAGCTAATGGGACGGACTGTTCTATACGCGCGGTGTGTATAGGCGGCTGTTACTAGGCGTGAATGTGTAGGCTTGACGCCATTATAGCCAGCAGTAGAAGTGGGCAGCTGGAAGAATTCCCGACATTGTGCCGCTATAATTGAGATGGTCTACTCCACTGATGCGATTCGAAGGTGATTTCAAACGTATTATTACGATCCCTAAAGGCCTCGCAGCGGCAGCAGACTAGCCGTTTGTCTGTATGGATGGAGCGAAAATTTTTGGTACTATACACATGCGCGGCTGAACAGATGTTATATCTCTTAAGGGTAATAAATACGTTAAAGATGGCATGCGATCCTCGTAAAATGTATTGTAAGCACGGTCTTCTACGCATTAAGCAGAAATTCATAGAGCGAGAGCTTTCCGTTGATTCACTAGCATAGGCTCTATTATTTCACAGATCCAAGCAACTGTTGGCAAGAGTGTGGCATGATGCGCGTGTTATACGAAGGAAGGTAACGTGTAGCCAGTTATTTGTTCGTTTTAAAACCGTACCATTTTGATATTTGTGAGTCGGGACACGATAAAATTATTGCTGTTACGATGTGGTGCAATCCATTTTTCTATGCTATAGCTTGCAGTAAAAGTGTTAGTGTTTTTAATGTTGGGGTGTAATCAGTGATATTTCCGATGCTGCTCAGGTGAGACTATTTTCAGCTATATTATTTTCGGATTGAGCGTTTCAGTGTTAATCTTCGTTAATCCGTTATACTTGATATCACAGTGAGTATTCAATACGCTAGTGTCTATCCTGTATAAAATTGGGGTGTAAACAATTAGCCAAGTGCGGACGATGGAAGGTGATGCTGAGGCAATAACCACACGTAGGCGTAACTAAGACGCGTAAGCACACCCAATACGGTGCTAATAAAGTCTTATTAACTTAAATAACAAACACAATCTGCGATGTAACGTGTTGAGGAAGTTCGTATATATATATATATATATATAATATATATATATATATATGTATATATATCGTATAAGCAGGACTTCCGGTATCTGATTAAGCTTGCAGATCCGTGTTCTACTATTGTTTTCGTAATCGGCTGGCAAATCTCAGACGCTCCGGATTTAGCAGTCCACAGATGCTATCAGGATCTGGCCGTTGTGTTAAATATCTGACCTTTTAACCGGGCGATTGTAAGGTTGAGCAACACGCAAGCTGCCTCTTATGAGGCAGGAAACAGGCAAGCGGGCCCGCAGGTATATATAATAATATATATATATATATATAATATATATATATATAATGTATATATATGTCGTTCCCATAAGATATGTAATATTGTTATCAAGACGTCAAATATTTTAAACATTTTAAATATACGCTTATTGGATGATTGCATAAATATATTATAATATATGACATGATTTTTTTCTTAGCAAAAGCTGTGTAAGCAAGTAACAAGTAAATGGAAACAACTCGTTTTAGAAGTGGCAATTTGACACACACACTTTCGTAAGTACGCGACGACCACCCGCCACACCACACACGACACACAGCACACAACACACACACACACACACAACACAGCACACACACACACACACATCACACACACACCACTACACGGTGTGCACAGACACACACACACACACACACACCAACACGGACAGGCACCACCGCCACACACACAACACGACAACACACACGCAACACGACACAGCACCATCACAGTCACACAACACGCACAACAACACACACACTCACACACCCACACACAAGCGCGCCACACACCCGGGGGGAACGACACACACACCCAAACAGGACACACACACACGCACACACACACTACACACACATCGCAGCACACACACCACACACACACGCAACACACACACACAGCACACACACACGCGCGCGCGCTGGCGCGGACACACACATGCACACAAACACACACACACACGCGCGGCACACCACACTGTTGGACTAATATCCGTGCAAGGACAAACTATCTTATTAGTTATTATATATTACAGGGGCCAGGGTGGTTAATATCAGGACGCGAAATTGGATCATTGAACCGGGGAAATACCGAATGCAATTGGTAATGAATCGGGAATAGAAGTCGACCAGGACGCAAAATTTTTTTTCCCACTTAAGTTCCGGACCACAGCCAATCAGCGCACTCCATTCACTCGACTTCTTCGAAGCAACAATGTAAAATGAATACCCTTATCTCTAACCCTTACCCTAACCCTAACCCTAACACGTAACCGAACCCTAACACTAATACTAACTATAATCCAACCATATATATAAGCACCATTTATTACAAAACACTATCTATGGTGGGTCCGGAACTCAAGTGGGAAAAATAATTTTGTGACCGGGACGCGAGAAAGTCGCGACAGTGTGATTGTAGTTAACCGGTAACTAGTAAATGGCACATTTTTCTACCTGGGTAACTAGAACAGAGCCACCTTTCCCACCGTTTCCCTTTCATGATTCAGCGCATATAAAGCTCACAACCATCGTGATGTGTATACAGAGAGCATTCTGCGGCCGTATATTCTCGTGCTATTGTGCGAAATATTGCGTCTTCGTTAATCGCATCATTGCTCTATGCTCTGTTTGCTACAGTCGGAGCGCAAAGGACACGGCGGCGGCGGTAACGGCGGCCACGGAGGTTACGGCCACCAACAGCCGGCAGTGTTTCCTTACAACGTGAAGGAGTACGGGAGGAAAGGAACATACCGCAGTAACTACCAGAACGGGGACGACGGCTACCGCTTCGCTCGCACTCACCAGCGCTTCGGCAAGGGCGACCCTTACCACCACACCGATCACTATGGCAACAGCATCCAAACAGACAAGGACTACAATAAGCGCATTAGCTACGATTTCGTAGCCACTCCCTACGGTCAGTACCTGACGGGGAAACACAGCAATCGTGGCCGTTAACGTCGGGGTCGCTGCGGCTAGCGGCCGGGCGTACGTACAGCTGGACTAGCAGGTACTAGTGAGCATTAGTAAGTGAGTCATCATTTAACACCACACACATGATGTTATATATCACTGACATTGTAAGCACACAACCTGCACAATAATTATACACCTGCACCACAAACACGCGATCATCATAGCTTGTAATATAGACACGGGTTGTAATGCGTATAATAACATACACACACGTCGCGTAAATATGTATATATATATAATAATATCACACGCGTTTATTTATGCTTTTTTTACTTATCACTGCAGATGATTAAGTTAGGATGGATTGTGGTTCTGTTTGATGCAATCAAACATAAATACAAACAAACATTTATTATACACGCGACAGGAGAATGAGTTAGAAAACTGCCGCATAAGAGCTGCCAATATATAATAACGTAGCGGCGCTTTTATTAGCCTTATACCATTATCTTATTACCTTATATATTTATCCATATCAACATACTATGAGGATGATATCAGAAACTCAATAATTAATATATTATATTTAATGAACTTGCTCTAATAGAATATTGCTGTTTTATATTGTGAATCATACAAGGTACATAACTTACACTACTGTCTTGTTTTGTGAAACTGATACGTCATCAGTTTGTGTGCTTGTTCTGTGAAACTGATACGTCATCAGTTTGTGTGCTTGTGGCGTCAATACGTTTGTCGTGGCTTGTCCTATCATACTACATTGTACGTGTATTGTATCGCATCGCCATGTTTTGCACTGTTTTGTACAATGTTCGTATCACATCGCACTTTATTGTCTCGTACTCTACACGAAAGTGTTACGTATACCTAGCATAAACATCTATTGCATGCTAGCATCGCCTATGATATACCACATGTGACGTCACGCGTTAAGAAGCCATTGCTAGAAGCGCAATACTGTTACGTTTCAGGTTTTGTTTGAATATTTTATTGTTATTCGATTACTATAATATCGAAGTTATAGTTATATATATATATAACGTAAGCACAAACGTTACTACATATATTAATATCTAATAAAGGCTGTTATCCAACAACTCATCTGCGACCTTTTCTTAGAACATTGTACTAACATGTCACAAATAAAACGCAGCAAAAACCCGATAGCTATTCACACACTGTTTCATTTAAAATCGAAAATATTAATTCACGAAACATAATAATATCCCAGTTCAATTTCATAAACCTTCAATTCGCGTATTCACCAGCAAAATCAATGTTCCCAATGTTGATGTCCAAATCATGTTGGTTATTGTTTAAAGCTCAGACATTCATTACGACACAAGGTTCGTAACTATATATATTTATTGCTATAAAGTGAGTTTTTACATAGAAGATAACAAACCAATACAGTTTTATTCTTTTGAGTCCTGATGCTTGATGTTACCGGCGTTTTCAATACGCAACTACGATTTGCTATCAGTACAAGATGTTATATATTGCCCATATCATATATATATATTAGAGTTGCAGATTTGAACAATATTATGTCAACTATTATATAGCCAACTTTGAGGCGTTCACATTGACAGACACGTTAATATTATGAGATTCCTGTAGGCACGGTCATTTCATCAGTATTGTTACTTTACGCCAAAGCCTACTGATTGGTGCAGAGAAGGAATATACAATAAGAGATAGAAAATACAGAATAGAATACAGAGAATAGAGACTAGAATAATGGAGAAATTAAGAACCGAAATCGAATATAAGAGAAAATAGATAATTCGCCTCCACGCTTTCAAGCGATGATGTAATTGCCGAATATTTACTCTCGCACCGACACGCAAATGTATTATACACCCGCCGATTACGTTCACCGTACATAGTAGTTACGCCAAATACCACACATGAATAATCGTGCTTAGGCATGCGTTCAATAACGATTTCATTTGCACTTACGCAATTTTAAATACATAATCCGCCAATGTAATTGTTTACACAAATAACAGTTAAATACTTATAAGGCTATGTCGGTCATCGAAATATTATTGATTTAGGCCTTATTACCGATCACACAAACATTCATGAATAAAGTCTTTAAAACGTTTATATTTCGCCTAAACTATGTAACCTTTAGCCAACCGATTTCGTCTAAACTTCTAAAGCCTTTATGTATTTTAAATATACTCATGAAATTTAACAAATACGCAAATTCCCTCGTAGCCTCTTACAGCGACCCTTACGCGCGGGGGCGGGTCGAGTCGATATGTTCGCCGTAGGCGCTACTATGTACTAGTGTCGTCAGCGTCAGGGTTGCAGACTTATAACAGCTCAGAATGGTCCGGTGATGACGCACCAGGTGGCCAACCGTTTTTAAGAAATAATTCTTCCGTACATTAAACCTGACGAATTTACGTGTTGTTGGCTCGGCGTGTTGTGGTATGTATGTACGCGCATGCGTTGCGTGTGGCTGTCTGTTTCCCTCTCTGTTACACACGCTCTCTTTCTATACCTCTCGTTCTGTCTCCGTGTGTTCGCGTGCTTGTCTGTAAGCGCGTGCGTGTATGCGCGCGTGCGTGCGCGCATGTTAGGCGTGCATGCGCGTGTACACCATTCATTCGTCCATTTATTATAATTGCGATTATTTATATTTATTTCAAGGATAAGAACAAATTAGGACCGACCATGAGCTGGACGTGGTGTTGTGTGTGTGTGTGGACCGCATTGATAATTGTTCTTACCTTGGACCCTATATTATGCGTCACACATTACACAGGTATTTATTTATAAACACATGACTGTACTTAGCATGTACGGTATACAGATCTAAGGGTATCGTATCGCATTTACCAAAACTCAGCTGAGCGATCTACCGTTACAGCGTGTGACAACGAATCTCTAGTAGATACCCACGATATTTCACGCATGTAAACTAGTAGCACGATGCGCATGCGCGGTTACACGAATCTTACGTTTCTATAGCACACACGTGATTGACTGTTAGTGACAGAGCCGATGGTATCTCTCATCTTATTGTAATAACCCACGTCATCGCACGTTAACAATTATACAGCTATACGCGCGCGCGTTTGTTCTTATGTATGTTAATAGCAATCACGGACAGCGCATGCGCGCGCGTCATCACCATTACCTGCAATTAATTACCATAATGTGCGTCTATATAGACGTGTCATGATCTCTCTGGCCCTGGCTGGGACTTAGAGGCGAGCGCAGGGGGAGCGGTGGGGTAGGGGTGGGGGTAGGGTGGGTGTGGGGGGGGGGGCGGGGAGCAAGATTAGTCGCATTCCTTGTCTAGCGCGGGGGCAGAGAAAACAAACATGTACAGACAGACAGGTGATATCTGCGCTAATTTGCCAGCGTTCAATGACGGAGACGAGTAACGTGAAGGTCACACGCAGGTAACGCTTATATACCGCACCTGTAATCATCAACACTTACCTGTATACACGCACGCACGCACGCACGAACGAACGCACGAACGAACGCACGCACGCAAGCACGCAGGTACACACACCCATACACACGTACATGCATACACGCACGCACGCACGTACATAGACACGTACGCACGCACGCACACACACGTACCTGTATACGCGCACGCACGCACGCACACACGCACGCACGCACGCACGCTAGGTTACACATTACCCATACACAGACGTAATCGCATACACGCGCGGCACGCACGTACATAGACAGCGTCGCCACGCACGCACGCCACGGTACCATAGACACGTACGCAAACGCAGCGCACACACACACGCATGGGGGAACACACACGCACGCGGGACACACACACGCACGCGGCGGACACGACACACGCACGCGGACACACACTACGCACCTGACACAGCACACGCAGACACGCTACACACAGTGCACACACACACACAAGCACACACAACGCGGACACACAAACGCGCACGCACCACACACACACACAGCACACACACGCCACACACACACAACACACACACGCACACCGCACACGCAGCACACACACACACAACAACACACACACACCACACATATACACACACACAACACACACACACACACACACACATACTACACACACACACACACACACACTCACAACACACTACACACACAACACACAACAAACAACACACACACACACACACACACACACAGCTATATGAATATATATGTATTATATAAGTAAAAACACGTTTAACGCCCCAGTAAGACACCGCCATGTAGATATGAAAATAAAAATGTAAAAAATAAATAAGTATAAGGGTGTTAAATTTGTCTATCTATATCATAATCTATATATATCATATATATTAGATAAATAGATAGCATAAGATAAGATAGCATAGATGGATAGATAAATAGCATAGATAGATAGATAGATAGATAGATAGATAGATAGAATAGATAGATAGATAGATTAGATAGATAGATAGATAGATAGTAGATAGATTGGATAGCAAGATAGATAGATAGGATAGCATAGATAGTAATTAGATAGATAGATAGAATGCGATAAGAGAGATCAGATAGATAGATAGATAGATAGATTACGTATAGCTAGATAGATTAGACTAGACTAGATAGCATAGTATAGATAGACAGAGAAGATAGATAGATGATAGATAGATAGGATAAGATAGCATAGATAGATAGGATAGATTAGATAAGATAGATAGATAGATAAGTAGAGAAGATTAGTATATGATTAGTATTAGACACATTAGACTCTCTTCACTGCCGCACAATACCGCTTACTAAAAGCTAATGGCGGACCGGGGACTGTTCAATAGCCGGCGGCGTGTTGTATAGGCGGTGTTACTTATGGGCGTGTACATGTTGTAGGCTTCGACGCATTATAGCCAGCAGAAGAAGAAGTGCAGCTAGATAGATTCCCGACATTTGTGCGCTATAATTGAGATTGTCTCACTCCTGTTGATGCGATTTCGAAGAGTGATTTCAACGTATTATTACGATACCTAAAGGCCTCGCAAGCGGGCACAGACTAGCCGTTGTCTGCTATGGATGACCGCATGCAGGTCGGTATACACTATGCGCCGCATGAAGCAGATTAATATATCTCTACAGGGTATAACAATACTGTTAAAGATCGCATGCGATCTTCGTAATAATGTTTGTAATGCAACGTCTTCTGACGCATTTAAGCAGCAATTATAGAGCGCAGCTTTACCGTTGATTCACTTCAACATAGCCTCTATTAGTTTTCAACGGACAGCAACCTGTGTGAGCAGAGTGTGCCATGATGCGCGGTGTATATACCGAAGAAGCGTACGTGTAGCAGTTATTTGTTGTTTTAAAACAGCCATTTTTGATTTTGGCAGTCCGGACACAGATAAAATTATATTGCTGTTAACGATGTGCGCTTCAAAGTCCATTTTTCTATGCTTATAACTGCATAAAAATGTTAGTAGCTGTTTTACATGTTGGCTGTAATTTCAGTGATATTTCCGCCTGTCATGGTGAGTGACTATTTTCAGCTATATTATTTGTCGGCATTGAGCGTTTCAGGTGCATTAATACTTCGTTTAATTCCTTATATTGAATATCACAGTGCTTTTTAGTATCAATACGGCTAGTCGTCTATACCTGTCATGTAAAAATTGGCGGTGTAAGAGCAAACTTGCCGAAATGCGGTACGATAGGAAGCTGGCATGCTCTGAGCAATTAAAAACCCCACGTAGGCACTAACTAAGACGCGTGAGCGACAGTGCCAATACGGCTCGTAAATAAAGTCTTTTAAACTTACAATATCACAACAACCAATCTTTCGATGTAACGTGTTGAGGAAGTTCCGTATATATATATATTATATATATCAATATATATACTATATTTATAATATATACTCGTATAAGCAGGACTTCGCGGGTTTATCTGATTAACATTTCCAGATCCGTGTTACTATTGTTTTCGCTAATCGGCTGCAAATTCTTCAGACGCTCCGGCATTTAGGCCAGTCCACAGATGCTATCAGGTATCTGACGTTTG